CGGAGTGTATGTGCGGGTCGCAGAGCGCCTCCGCGGAGTGCGTGCCGCGCTGCACCACGTACGCCGTCGCCTGGCAGATGTCCGCCGGCGCGTTGTCGTTGGCGCGCGACCACTCGTCGAAACGGTTGAACATCTCCGGGAACCACATCATCAGACCGTAGTAGCTGTGGAGACATCGACAGACATTATACAAACAAGCCTTTAAATGACATTTTTAGAGGAGAGAAACTTTGAAAAAGAGAGCGAAATAGTTTCGTACCAACCAGCTTTTGAATAAAATTACTTTTATATCCTCGAAACTGATAAATCAATGAATTTAACGTAAGAACTCACCCAATATGGAATGTAAAATTGATGGTGATGGATATCGTTGTGAACTTGAGTATAGGCGGCACGAACAGCTGTTTACTATGCTCCACGATGTCGCTTAGCATCCGACGCATCTTTGACTTCGGCTCCTTCTCTTCCAGCTGCTTTTCAGGCTTGGTATGTATCGGCACGTCTACTAACAACTGCTTAACTGGGTACTCCTCTTTACTCCGGCCGGTGTTCATAAGATAGATCCCTTTGAATACTTCTAGCGCATCTTCATGGCGGCCTGTTGTTATCAAGAATTTGGGTGACTCTGGCAGAAGGAACAAAAGCGCCGCGACAAGGAAAGACGGCAGAGACATCACTAGCAAGAAGATACGCCAAGAGTTGTACACGAAACCGCCTGTCGTTCCTCCGATCTCTGAAAATATTTTTTGCAATTAATACAAAAACGGCACAGTATTTGTGCAAAACGATTATTGATTATTGTTAGTGTGACTAACCGCTGGGGATGATGACCCAGGCGAGGCCGGCCACGAACAGGTTGCCGAGCGTCCAGAAGGCGGCCATGAAGCTCAGCATGGCGCCGCGCTTCTTCTTAGGCTGGAACTCCGCGAAGTATGACCAAATCACAGGACCAGACCCACCCAACCTTTAATTGCATTATACAAAATTTATTTTTGTAGGTATAACAAAGATAATTTGTAAGACAAATTGGCTAAGTGTATAAAAATCTAAACATTTTCCTTGTTGCATTGTTGTAGATTAACTACAAAAAAATCAAACTCTATTTGCTAGAATAAGCAATCCAAAGCTAAAACCATGTAGCGACTGTAAAAGAAACAGATAAAAACGTTGAATAAAAAATCGTATTATTTGTCCGAGACAAATTGGAATCATGTTCATGATTTACTTTAAAGTAGTAGAAGTTTTTCCTTTTAATGGAATGTAAATAGAATTTAATGTATTTCTACGCTGTACAGCTGTTTTTTGTACAAATAACCTTGTGTTTTCGTTCATTTAAGATTTAAAATATGAATATGTAGGTCAGTTCCCTTTTGACGTTATTTTTCATACTGTCGTAATTTTTAACATCGGTCGAAATCGTGTGACAATTAAGAATGGAAGTAAAGACTTACGCGGCGCCATTGATGAACCTGAAGAGCATGAAGAGCTCGTAGTTCTGGCTGAAGGAGGAGGCGACGATGGCAAGCGCGTTGACGATGGAGATAGCGATGAGGACGCGCTTGCGGCCCAGCGAGTCCGCAACCGAGCCCCACGCGTATGCACCCACCATCATCCCGATGAAGATTATACTGTTCAGCCATCCCTGGACAAACAACCACATATTATCCTATAGCACATTTAATTGTCGTTTATCATCGTTCATCCCCGTAAGGAATCAGAAAGAACTCTCGAGTGTAACAGTCCTAACAGTTTTGTTAGGGTTTTTGAAGTAGCCAATTACCTTAGACACCCTCAATAGTCTACACTTCTCTTTCGATTGGATTCTATACAATAATAATAAATTATAAATGTAAAAGTTTAGCCATCTAACAAACATCCATACATGTGGATGGATGTTTGTTAGAGTTTATAGCCTAAACGACTGAACGGATTTCGATGAAATTTGGCATAGATGTAGAGGACAGTCTGGAAGAACACATAGGCTGTTCACGTTCACGCGGACGGAGTCGCAGGCGAAAGCTACTTTATCATAAACCGAAAACAAATATGATAAGCAATTAATAACAGTTAATTATAAAAAACAATTTGTAAGGAAGCTTAAGCCCTATTCTAATAAATGATATATGTGACTCTAATCACGCCACTTGTAGTGTTTACATCGCTATACGTCGAATAGTTTGACCAATGTTGTAGGCAAATTTCACACGTTCACTAAATGGCCTTCTTAGAATAAATATACGCATATAATCTAAACAAGGTTACAGATCTATAAACGGCATTCCTAAACACTATTTTGTGTGTGCGTCATAAAACGTGTGACATAGGATGTGTTGTTTTACTTCCGTTAAAATCACTTCCGATTAATTAAAAAATTCATGTTTTAGTTGTATTTGTTGGCAGATCGAAACAAGTGAACAACAAATTGGGTTTACAAACTTTTGGTCTAAGTACAAATAAACTAAAGCAATTTCAACCACAACCCATAAATTAAATTAAATTATGACCACTTACTGATTATGTGCAGTAGGACTTTTAAATGTGACTAAAAACGGGAGGTGATGACATTACGTTGTTGTTTTTATAGTTTCGAGTTTGCAAAGTATTATGATTTTATTGGAAGCGTTTGCTTTAGAAGGTATAATATTTGCGAATTCCATTATCACATTTGTGTGCTAAGTGTCCCCAATGTGAATAGGGTTGCCAGACATTTTGAATCTCTAATTTGGCACAGAATAAAAATATATCGCTATATTTGAACAATGTCGGTAATGGGTTCGTATTTAATTAGAATTGTGTTAGTAAAATCAGTCCTTTACTACAGCAAAGCTCTTTAAGGGTCATATAAGACTCTGAGTGTAGTTTAGTTGATATGGGTGTTCTTCATTGATCGTATAATTAATGGGGTGACAGAGATAAGATAATAATGCAGGAAGTGCAGCAACGGTAACCAGAGGTCTTATACAAACAATTTCAATGACCCCTTTAGTAAAACTTATTTAGATAACATTATAAACAATGTGCCTAAAATTTCACATGGTAAGATGACGCTTCTTTCATATTTATACTATATATATATTTACAAAATTAAAGGAGGAAATGTGATTTTAAGTAAAACCTCTTTTTTTGTTATTGGTAATTTTTAAAATCTTATTTCATGCTTTTCCGAACAACGAAAATTTTATTCTTGATAACATAATACATTTATTAGATGGGATCACGAAACCTCTAAAATTATAAATTCTCTTAAAGAATTAAAGCTTCCAGATATACTCATAAACAACAGGCTATAACTTAAAAGAAAGCTTGGAACTCTAGCTTTATTAATATTAAGATATAGAAATATTTAAAAAAGGACTACAATTTTTAACATTAGTAGGTACTGCGGTAAGATTGTCTCCGTCCTATGTTGTGTTATGGTGAGCGTAGTGTTACATACTTTGGTATACGTAGTGAGGTTGAGATCACACTGCGCCGAGGGCAAGATGAAGGACATCGAGATGACATCCATCTCCTCGGAGGTGCTGACCAGCCCGCACACGGCGAGCAGCAGGTAGTGGAAGCGGCCATAGCCTAAAAACATATAGAACTACATTATAACCACACAATACTATACTAACCAATGCTTTGATAATATAAGTACATATTGCCATTTCAGTTTTTTTAAGCGAGACATGTTTTTGTATAAAATTTTCTGCAGTTGAATCTCAGTATCGGTCACTAGCTAATTTAAAATTATAATAAATAGCTGTTATCCTTACTGTACCAATAGATATTTATAAAGACTTTTGTTCAATCTTTTCTTTTAGGAATACAAACAACAACGACTTATATACATGTCGGCTGTGCGCTTTTATGGTTAGTTTTTCTGAATTCAGTAAAAAAAAAAATATAAGTGTGCATGTTTTTTATGCACAAAGTCCCGTGCTACAAAGTGCATAATATTCTTCAGTATAGCACCATTTTGTACAAGCTTAATATTACTTACTTACTTAATTATTAAATAAACTTGTTTCTCATAACCTGTATGTATAATTCATTTGTTTACGTTTCGTTTGGTACTACAATGTTTGTCAATAGCGCTATGTACGTGTGTAACGCGTTCCGGGAAGACGTGGCCTGTTTATTGCGGCCAGCTTCGGAATGCAGCGTAAGCTCGCTTCATTCATAAAACTTCACACGATCAGTCTCTATTACATTGTTTGTGTGACACCACTCTATCCACGTGTATGCTCTGCCCTTACGACATTCAAGTTTTACACGTGCTGTAACTTAAAGCTTCTTAGAACAAGCTGCAATCGAAAATAGCAAAATAATCCCAGATATGACAAGTTAAATTGTTGCAGTAGCAACATACTCTAGCAATGCAATCCGATTTTTATTACCAGAAAGTGTTAATAATTTATAGTTGATCTTCTACCTCGAAAAGCTATCCGTGAGGTTCTATACTTTTTCTAGCTTTTTCCCGCGAATTCGTTCCCATGAAACAGAATTAATACGTAGCCTAATTCCACATTATTTAGAACATAATTTAGCTATACTACATTTCATTTAGATACGCTTCGCCGAAAGATTAGAAAGCGTTTTTCACGGCGATGAAGATATACCTTCTTGTCACATACGGATTTGTTTAAAATGTTTTCACGAACGTGTTACGTAAGAAATGTAAACAAAACATGGTAATATGTTATTTGAAACGACAGGAATTGCGCGGGAAAATGACCCCACTTCGGAGTACCAGCGATGAAGGTTAAAACTCAGTTATATGACGAAATAAGATCTTGTTTGTTTCCACTGTATCAATTTATATGTTGCAATCCAATAAAAAAAATCAAAACAAACTACTCACGTCTCCTGTACATGCTTCAGGTAGTTTATCATATTCCAAGATTTGTAATAATTAAATGCAATCTACACTTACATTACAATGAGAAAATTTTCATTTTCGTATGTTTCTATGTTTGTAACAAATAAACTCAAAAACTACTGGTTCAATTTTAAAAATTACTTAACTATTTGAATGAAACATTATCGCTGAGTAACATCTATACTAACATTATAAAAAACAAAGATATGTATTTTTGCATTATGTATGTATTGAAATAACTCAAATACTACTGAACAGATTTCAAAAATTCTTGCACCATTAAAAAGTTATTTTATCACTATGTAACAAGCTTATATGTTTTATTCTACGCGGACGAATTCGCAAGCTACAACTAGTAGGTTATATTTTTTATATCAGTAACTTGATATTCTTACCGGTTAATTCGATAGCCCGCTCGAAGTCAGCTTTTTCAGAGTTTGGCGCTTTTTCTGCGTCGCACTTGGCTGAGGTCTTCAGCGAAGGTACGATACCTGGAACATTAAGAATATTAATAAAATAAAAAAACTACCATACTACAGGTTGGCCTACTTAACTACATACGAGGTAACTTTATTATTAGCAAGTATCGGGAGTTTCTACTTAATCTTATTTCTTACTTAATATTATAAATATGAAAGTTGGATGTTTCTTAGAGTTTGTAGCCTAAAAGGTTGAACGGATCTGGATGAAATTTGGCATAGATGTAGAGGATAGTCTGGAAGAACACTTAGGCTACTTTCTTTTGTTTTTATTAATATCATGCGGACGGAGTCGCGGGCGGAAACTTGTGAATTATAAAAATAGTACGCTTTTAGGTTAGGTTATGTGACAATAGAACTTTATATAATTAAATAAGTGCGAAGTTAGACCTTAATTTTAGACAATGTTAAATTGTTTTTTTCTAACTGGGACGTACTAGATTGTAAACTAGAACTTGTTCTTATATCTAATGTAACCAATTTATGTACCGAAAACGTCAGATAAGTATGTTTGCTTAATGATTTTTTGATAGTAGATCAATTTATTTTTAGAGATTAATTCAACGAGATAATGTGAATACAGTATCAAAACACTTCTTAGAAAAATTGCATTATTAGTGAGTCGAATAAAGAGATATGTATTTGGTTTTTAAAGCAGTAAGTCATTGAATCAATAAATACTTACATTTCTATAACTAATTATTAAAAAAAAAATAACTAGAGATTATTAATTATTTCTCGAAAACTTTTCCAAATTAAAATGAGAGTACTCACCAAGGTCAACGGTTTTGGAACCTGGGCCGTTTAGTTGGAGGTCGTTATTTACATCACAATCTGTAAACAAAAAAACATGCAATTTATTGGTGTTATACGATATTCCAAATTAAGGCATAAACTTTGTAGACAACGCTTTTCTCACATCGTATTCATTTCTGGTGTGTGATAGAGGTTAAATCGAGGTGTGTGTGTGTGTTTTTTTTATTAATTAGTAACTACTTTAAGACCATTCTTTGTTTCAGCAACTGTGTTTATATTTAATAACTGGTAAATAATTGACGTTGCATTCTTAAGATACGGGATAATTACGAAACAAGGGAACAGATACGATCTACAGCAGTCAATATATAGCGCCGTGAATATAAGCACTGAAACAACTCATTTACTTACTATAAAATAATATTTGTGTACTAAAAATGACTTAATTATACGAATAGTATAAAAAAGTCGTTAGAGAATAAAATAGTGAGGGACTAAGCGTCTCTTTACATCGCATTTTATTTGGCATTTCGGACACAATAGTTCTTGTCCACACCACGAGCCAGCTCAAGCTTCTGTTTTCGTATACAATATAACTTACTGTGAGGTTTTTTGGGCCCGGGGTCAGTTTCTACCATCCTATGCGGGCGGCCGGCGATGTATGCTTGCCTCGAAGCGGACTTGAAACTTCCTTACTGGCTGGACGCTGAGTTCCAACGACGAACAACGCGTCTGCAACAGAAATGATACATTTAGTTATATAAAAATAAATACTTTGATGAAATAATTACACAGATCAATTGGAATATCGTGTAAATTGTGTTAATAGCATAATTAAAAAAAAAACTAAGTTGGGACTTTTTCTAAATATTTTAATGCAATGAATCGAACCTAAATGTAACCATTATATGAACACTAAGCGGTGATCTACAAGTACTTCGTCGAAAAGAAACAAAGTGTGTTGCATTAAAAAGGCATATTCGCGAACATATCTGCGAGATCGTTCTAAATCTGTAACATCAAGAGCTTTTTATGACGTTTAACATTGAAAATATTTTGAAGATCACGATCGTAAAGTCGACGTGACGGCGGCGCGGCGGCTGCGTGCGCGTTTCTGCCGATTTTGATAAAGAAAAAATGTGTTTCTATACTTATAAAGATCACGCAGGACTTGGCATAGGAAACTGTTTAAACAAGTTAACTATATGATAGTATTATAACATTCATGTCTTCTTTCAAATCGATCCTGAAATTAAGGAATAATAAAGTGTAACTATAGTAGGTAGCGGATATTATATTTTTTCAGTTATTTTGTGAAAATTTTCATATAAACGGCCGAATACTAAAACGAAATTTAAATATAATACAAATAGCAGCACAATTTATGACGTCTGTCAGATTGTAATCGGCACTTACGAAGCAAAATGCTTAAATGAAGTGGTACTGTAGAATAAGGATAGTTAGTGTTACATAATTTTATGCTAAATTTTTATTTCACCGAAAGACTTTTAGTCTGGAATAAGGTTATTCCTTGTTGGAGGGCTTCAAACATAATTCAATTGCTAACAAGGTTAGACAATTAGTTATGCAACTATACTAAAGCTATTGTATTTATCTACGCGAGAAGTACATCGATAATTGGTTAGGTGATGGCACAGTCGAGTGAACAAACACACAACAATGGACTGGAAGTGTCCCCCGCGGCGGCGCGGCGGTGACCGCGCTCGCTTCGGCCGGCCTCATCCAGTTTCGACACGGATATAGAGACAAAGCGCATCCCTATTGAGCGTACACGGACGCGTTTATTATCGAATCAATGTTTTAATTCGTTAATACTTTAAACGCACAGCTTAATAACAAACTTGAGAGTCACCAATCGTGGCCCTTCATTGTACTTTTTGATATAACACGACAAATGTTTATGACGAATCAAAATTAAAGCTTTCTGATGTTTGCAATCGTTGGAAGTGAACTCATTCTTATGTCATTCAAAACATAAACCTGGAGCAGTAGCTTTGTCAATATTAGCATAATGTACATACAAAACTTGGTTTAATATCTTTTAATATAACATTTTCCTCGGCGCTACGACAACGTGATTCATGACACAGTGTGGGACGGTATTAAGTCGTTGAACTAATTTATAACATCGTCATCTCCAACCGTAACGGATATGAGCGCGTTTACGTTTTACGCAATTGATTGTTCCATTGACAGCACTTGGGGCAAATTTGATTCATCTCAAATAGACTTGACCGTAACTAAAAATATTGATTAACCTTATTTAACCACTGCCGAAAAACATGTAGCAAGGGTAACATATAAATAGTTTAGTTAAAATAATTAAAAACGTGAAAAACCGCGCCTCTCTTATTCACTACGCTTCGTCGCGTGCTGCTCGCAGAAAACGTGGCCATGAAAAAAAATTAACAGCTCGCCGCATGCAAATGTTTCCCGAAAATCTACGCGTAATTTAATCATAATTCGTGTAAAACGAATATTTAGTAATATCAATTATCCTCACGGAAAATCTATTTAACCTCTTTGTAATAAAACAAGAATAAATAAGAGGCCACATTTACAATGTATAAACGATACGTTAATTTTCATTGCCGAAGCATCCTTTGAAATATTGGTAGCTCTTTAAAGTAAAATGAGGGAACAAGCGACACTAACAAGAAACAGTATCGGCGTTAGGGCAAGGTACGAGCGACCTCCCTCGGCTGGACATAAAGGGCCGTCACAGGTCTGCGAATTATACATAGCTCTGTTATGCTTATGTAAGGCACAGTAATAAAGGGCTACTAAGTTCGACAATAACGGTTCGGTTCAGTAATAACTAAATCTATAAGATACTAGCTGTTGCCCGCGTCTTCATCCGTATAAAATTAAAAAATAGTAAAAAAATAGCCTACGTTACTCAGTTTTAACATAATTTTTTAATGGTGCCAGAATTTATTAAATTGGGCCAGTAGTTTTTGAGTTATTTCAATATATATTAGTATAGATTGCTTCTCAGTTCCTACGTCTCTGTATATCTTTAGCATCATTACATTTTCCTGGATACAATTTACGTTATCCTAGGGCGCGTTAGTATTTTTTTTTGTTGTATTACTAATGCAAATATTTTCCATAGTCTTACGTTTCTGACACATGTTTGTTAAACAATGTACTTACGTCACAGATTCATTTTATAGTACATACGATAAGGAATACGTTCAAGTAGGCCAGACAAGAAAATTATTTAGAATTTCGGTTTCGGTATGGTTTGCAAATCAAACAGACTAACTTTAAAGTTTTCCGCTATATTTTACATATCTTTTTACCCGACTTGTAAGAGGGCAATGTTTTTCGCACGTATGTCTGCCTGTTTTTATGTTTGTGGGTTTGTATGTATGTTCCATGATGGCGGCCTACAGCCTAAACAACTGGACTGAGACGGATAGGGTTTGATTAGATTTGTCTTCTGCCTTGGAGTGTCGAAGGCATTGTCAAATACATTGGCATAAAAACTCATACAGTAGACGTTACAAAAAACATTCTAAAAAAAGTGAAAACACGAGTTCACCCAACTTAACATTTTTATTGCTAATTTATACTTTAATGTTTTTGAGTAAAATGTAAAATTAAAAACTTATTAATTTGTTCTAAAAAGGAACAATAGATGGCGCATCTATACCAGCCTTAGTCAGACGGGTTTTTTGTCTTTTTGAAATCAAGGTTAGGTTATATTTAAAAGAAACATACGGATTGTACATAGTAAATAAATCTAAGTATTCTTTTGAATCTCTTTTCTTTAAATCATTCATCACTAACCCTACTAAGATTAGACACAAAGTGTATATTTGAATTAACTCGTTTCTAACCCTACGTCACGCAACCCATGCATACTTTCTTCGTTCTGCCTGTACCTTTACATCCATCCAATTGAATCTAAATATTTACTTTTTTTTTATCATCATCTCTCTACGTATGTCCATACAACGTTAATCTAGCGTTAATATACCTTTATCTATTAGGATTCCATAATTTAAGAACATACTCGAAAAACATTCATGATTTACTAAAATTCGCAAACATATGACATAATTTTAGCATCATATTACGACTGAGAAGTAATAAATGTTTGCATCCTGCAACTGGCAACGGTTAAATAAATAAATCTGTTAAAACTACTAAATCAAAAGTGAACTGACTCGTAAACTTTACGTCTGCTATAAACAGCAAGGAGTTTTTGCAAACATGTTTATATGATATTAATTCTGCCTGACTCTACTTGCAAAACGATGAACAGTCACGCAGTAGAGGGTTGATTACATTCCACATTACATCTTTCTATAGCTTTTCCTAACTACAAAAGAAAACACACAAATTAAAAATAACATGAAATAACTACTATAACATTAGTTTTAGTTCTTTTAATATTTTTAAAGATAACAAATAGGATGTGATTTTTCGATATTCTCTTGATTCTAGATCATGTAACTTTGCTATATGTTTTGGTCATTTTCCTTTATTCCTTGTTCATTAAGATCAAAGAAAAAAAAAAGATTAAAATTTAGCCAATGGGAACCACGCAGCGAGTTTCAAATTAAAATAAGTATTAAAGAAACAGCGTTGAATCTACATACAAAGTTTATTCGCTGATAATTATGTAAGACCCCCTCATATTTATGCATATTAGTGTTTAAAAGTGTAATACTAATGTTGTACTGGTATGAATGTACAATGCATAATTTAATTGCATTGTTGATTATTGTAGAGCCGTGTCGAATAAAACGCTCGAGTTGATGTTGAAATACTTCGAAGGTAACGTATTATATCATATAGCTTTAAATTACCCATAACATCTCTACAATAGTCTATACTCTATGCTCTATGCTCTTTGCGTACTTTACAATGTTTCGAAATTAACAATACGCTCGTGGGAAAATTACTAGATTAGTTTCGTGGTGTTTGTACAATTAAGGAGTAAAAAATGGCATAACTGTTTAAAATTCATACACAATGTTAAGGAATATTTTGATTATATACGTCGTTCTAGATATTGTAAGAAATTCTGTTTAGTCACAAATAATTATATCATACTAATATTATAAATGCGAGGGTTTAGATGGATGGATGGATGTATATTAGAATTTGTAGCTTAAACGGCTGGACGGATCTCAATGAAATTCGTCACAGACGTAGAAGACAGTCTGAAAGAACAGATAGGCTATTCACTTTTTTTTTTAATTCCACACGGACGGACGAAAGCTAGTAAAAAATAAATCTTGAAGTCAATCGGGTTAAGTTTTCAACCGTACGGGTTATTTACTAATTAAAAACGGTAATTTTCAGTTGGCGATAGGTATGACAGACAATAACGAGCCACTTTACATTAAGTACCTATTTTGGAATCCTATGAACTTTAATACAACCTAAAATAGAACTGGCACATGGGAAAAAAAGCAAAATGTAGTCTTTGACATTAACTCTTTAGCATGTTATGTGTATTTATGTATCTTTTATTTATTTTGTCATCGTCATCATTAACCGGACAAATGCATCGCTCAACAAAAGCCTTTAAAAATCGACAAAAACATCAATGTTTTTCCATTAAATAAATTTAACCTTTTTAATTAAAAATAAACAAAACAGTAGTTATTAACTAAGTGTTGTAAGATTTTGGTTATATTGCTAATTACTTATATACTAAATTATCTAACAAAATATTATATTATACTGGTAGA